GAATAAACCTTATTAATCCAAATCTTCAAGGCTACCCACAACATTCATCTGAATATCAGTGTGAATAAAAGAACCAAATCCATGCACAGAAAGACGTAACTATAAGATGTGTAACAAGGGGCGAAGTTATGCTTTAACAAGGTTTACTCCTATTCACACTTGACTCAAGGAAAAAAAGAAATAACACAAGCAACTAGACTGAGAATGAGCAATAATTTCCAGGGTAATTCTGTTTCTAAATGAGTTCTCTAAAAAGATTAAAATCATCGATATTCACAACGTAAATCATGAATTGCTGGAGGTTGAGAGGAAAAGTTAGCACTTGGACTTTTCTTAATAAGGAGAAATCAGTGAACTAAGACTGACCAATGGTAAGCCTGAGCCAGCAGAGTAGTACTTGTTTGTATATTCATCCAATTAATATCTCAGGTATTAAGGTCTAATTCAAATAATATTTAAGATGTTTATGAAAGAAACGCTCATAAATAAATTTCTTTTTGGCAGATGAAAATTGGCAATTTCTAATTTCTTGTAATTTTGATTACTGAAGAAGAGAGATAATAACTTCTCTCATTAAGGCAAAAAAAAGGTCCCAACATCTGTTTTCATTATCTGCAGAGGACTTTTCTTTAAAATCATTAAGAAAAGAAAGGGCTCCTTTATCCTCTATAATAAACATTTCACATGGTTATGATTCAATATGCTATATACTGCAATGCTAATTCTCATTATTCTTCAAACATCATATTTGAGGACATTAATAAACTATTAACATGACTAACTTTTTCACAGAAGTTAAGCCATGTGGAACCAAATGGCACAATTCAGCCGTATAAATGACTAGATAATGCAGGCCACCTTCTGCCCTACTGCAACTCTGCTGGCTCCACTTGCATTTGCAGGCCTAGACCAAGGGAGGAACCTGTGTCTCTCCAGAAACTGGAAGCATAAACAACTTTTTATTCCTTCCCAAAACAGAGATATTCCATAAAAAGGCAGGGATCAATTCATACGCTAGACTTGTCTGCATGAAACCTGCAATATGCCTTCACCCACCAGAGAAGCATTTCTCCAAACAAATTAGGGATCATGGAGGTGAAACACAGCCTTTAATACAGTTTGGCAAGAGTAGTGAATTTTGTTCATTACTTCTGTTAATTGTTAAATCAGTAAAATACAGAGTAACTGAAATAACCTGGCAGTTCAGTAAGAGAGTGGCACCATTGATTCCTGCAACTTTTTGTCCCTGCCTGGAATACAGCAACCATACCAGGCAATTCACTGTGCTCAGCCAGATCCTGTGTGGCTGATCCCAAGCCCTGAGACAGCCAGGTGTATCAGCAGTCCTGTCAGTCTCACTGTTAATCTTAAGCACAGGTAACATCAAGGGACCTCTAGGACTGAAGGACATCCTCTGCCTGCTAAAGCACAGGAGCCTCTTATTCCCCCTTCCCCCAAACCACAATTTTCTTGCCCCAACAGACTCTGTACAGTAATGAAGGATCACGTTTCTCCCCTCCAACCAATCTTCTCTTCCCATGCCTCTCCTCTCTCTTCAGTCCTCCTACAGTTGCTGTGGAAATAACACATTTTACTGACCCAACACCTCCTGGGCAGCTGGTTCCCACAGCTGTGGTGCAAAAGGCAATTAAGATAAAACACAGCTCTGCAATGAATCACAAGCCTGAACAGATCTCAGAGGTCATCTAGTCCATTCCTCTGCCCCACGGGAGGTTCAGCTATCCCCTTGTCACTTCTTACAGACATCTATGTCACCTTCTTTTAAAAACTTCAGTGATAAAACTTAGACAGGATCCCTAGGCAATACATCCCAGTGTTTCACCACCTTTGCAAAGAAGTTCAATCTTTCCTCACACCTCACATTTTCTAACCCTCAGATCTTTTTTCTCTCTTTCTTTACAAGTCTTACCAGACCTTTTCTATTTTCCTCACACAAACAACTGAAATTAAAGCACTTTGCTTCAAAAACTACTTTTAAAAGTGATCATTGAAAAATTTACTGTATGTTGCAGCTGGAATTAAATCACCTTTTTCCATTGTGCAACTGTAACATAATTTTAAAGACTTTGAATAAAAAACTATTCATATTCTGCATGTTTTAATGCCATATTGTAATTGTGCATATGCAACAGGAGAACCAGGGCTACTGTTGTCATACATAATAACAAATAAAAAAAAAATCAAGATTTAAAAACCAATTCAATTTTCCATAATCAAGGTAAATCCACATTTGTTACAGATAATCCCAATGTTAGAAAATAATGACCTATCAAAGAGGTGAAATTTGACTTTGCTCAAGCAAGCAGTTTTGTTAGGAACACATTCAGTCCACTGGAGAGAGCAGAGCAAATCAGATTTGGCTCACAGCTTTCCTACACCCTGAATTCATATGTCATCTGACTGGGCTGTTTTTAAATCAGTGAAAAAGCAAAACGGGAAGAGAAGTAAAGCAATGCTATAGTTAACCCACATCTTCATGATTATTGCTGGCTTTACTTTCCTCAGTGAATAGTTACAGGAAAAAAGTACATATAAGGGTTAGAAATACCTCCTTTTGTAAATTAATTTAGTCTGCTGCATGGAATAGCAAGGACAGAGGACACCACTTACCAAGATTTTAATACTCTGAAAATGAGATAAAATTTTGGTTATTCATGAAAACAATGAATTTGTAACTTCTCTACTACACTAGACACAACATAAAGCATTTTTTCATTTTAAATGGTGGATTACAAAAGCCAGAGAAAAACTTGGATTGGACCCCAAAGAAGTATAACAAGGTAACACATTATTCCCTTTCTATTGTTGCTACATACTGGGCTTAACATGTCATAGGACCAAAGACAAGGCCTCTGAAAGGACTACAGGCCTTTACAGATAAGAAGCCTTAAAGTTCTTTCTTGGAGCCAAATCTTTAAACAAAAAAATACAAAATCCCACAGAAGAGCAAACAAAGCACATTTTAAGCACAAGTTTAACTAATGTATTCATTATGCACTTTAAACAAAGTGTATCAATGAGAAATTAAAATTCGCGATGCTCCTCTTTGAGCTGAAGGTCTCCTTGGAAAAATTTCACGGATAAATCCATTCCCTCATGATTTCCAAGATCTTTTAAAAGGTGTGGCAATGTCAGATATAACAGATGTGAAGAATTCTATTACACTCTGCATTCCCAATGAGAATTACACTAGTCCGAGATGAAAAACTAACACTTTGCTACTGAAAATTTCAAGAACAGATGCCAACATATTTCATGATGACTTTTGATTACAGGAAAAATATAATACAGGTCAGCACTGATATTCAAATTGTATTTTGACCCATTCCAGACAAGCCCCTCCATGTGCAATGACAGAAGAACATCCAGAACTTATGATCCAAGTATCAAGTGCAGACAAAACGTGAGAAAAATCCAACACTTGCCCCAGCAGTGTCACAAAAAATACCAAAAATCTCCATCTAATTTTTAGAACACTCGTGATAAATAAAAGAGGAGACTATGGATTTGCAAAATCCACAAAGAATTATTTTCCTCAGATTACAAACAGAGAGACTTGAAAATTCAATTTTTAACATAGCTGCATGTCTGAAATAGACCATGTATCAAGTACACTGCAGAAATTATACTGTGCATTTTACAGAATCCAAGGCATGAATTTACAAATTTCAACAAAGTTTCTTCAAACAGGTGACCACATTTCAAAACATAAATCATCATTCTGAAAAAAACCATTAACCATAACTTCAAAAAAAAAATTGAAAATGCACCAAAACATGAACCAGAGTGCAAAGAATGTCCTAGAGGCAAGATTAGCAAGCAATTACAGCAGTCACTGGTAACAGTTACAGTACACAGCATTTTTGATTTTTCTTCTGAAAAATCTGCCTTGTGATCCCAGTATGACAAAATCATCCTACTGTTTTCTCCAATCTAAAACAATTCAAATCATCAATAATCAAGAGAGCATCAGCTGATCACGTTTCAGGATGCAGCATGGGAGTATTAAGTGACTGAGCATTGATCAAATGACGACAGAATCTGGAGACTGTATCTCAAGGAGTATTGGTTGACCCTGATGTTAAGTATGTTCATATTATATAAGCCTGCACTGAGTTACTGTTTCTGCTGCTGAAAAGTGCTGTTAAAACTGCACATACAAATATATTTGCAAAGTCAAGCACCTACTAACATATTTCTGCTCTTCAATCAATCTTAAAATGGCCTACTCTTAAACCAACTTTCTGGCAAGGAAATACAGACCAGTACCTGACCCAAGCATTTCACGTTCTCGAGGTAAATTCCATTAGCATTTAATGTATGTCACCTGCAGGAAAATTCCTTTTTATGTAATAACCTGCAAGTCACTGACTGATTGAAAATGAAGGTGCCTTTTCTCATGTACCTTGCACAGACACAGGGGATGGAAAGAAGGCAGCAGCATTTCAAAAGATGATGCTTACATATCCCTCCTAAATGCCTTCTAAACGTATACAGTTCTCTAGGGAACAATCAACTGAGCAATGTCTGTAATGCTCAGGATATAATTACCAAAATGAGATGCATACCCTTCATTACACCAGCAAACAGTTAACTTTACAGACTATTTCTCTTGCTTTGGTGCTCTCAAACCTTTCTTTTTTCTTTTTTTTAAGTAATCAAGTGCTTCCAATCTTCTACACTGCAGTTACCGTGCATTCAATGCCAGGTGCTGCACACCTCACTAGCAGAAAGTCAGCACAATGCAAGACCTTCTCCAGCCCGTGTAGTTTCATATACAGCTGTAGCATGACAGAATGTCTTTGGGATTTAGCAAATTCAGACAGATTCTGTTGCTACATCCCACAGAAAAATTGCCATGAAATTCCCCCTGTTTAAAAAAAGAAAAAAACGAACAGCCTACATCTCCAAACATGACAGTGCATTCCTGGCATAGAACATGCAATGCAAGAAGAGAAAAACGACAGTATTTATGTTACCTTCAGTCACATAGTTGTGGTCTCGCAGAAAGCTGTGGTTAATTTTCCGTGTGTCCGTGTCCTCGCCCATTTACAGCAGGATTACTCAGCATGCCTATCCGCAGTGGACTGATAGCATCAGCAGAGGTCGTCACAAGAGCACCATCCATGCTGCCACTGCCTAGCAGAGGCGGGGAACACACCGGGCCACTGAGCACAGCATAATGAGAGCTATCGAGGCAGCACAGATT